GATTTTTGCGGGGGGGGGTAGTATGGCTCCAGCCGTAGGGGCCCCGGAGTCCCCAGCTCCGCCATGGCCTCCCGAGTCCCCTGCTCCGGCATGGCACCCGGAACGGGTACCGCTCTGGAGGCCCACTGTCCCGTGTCTGTCCTGAGGGACCTCCAGAGTGCCCACCCCCCCTCCCCATTGGATGTTATATGGCGTGAGGACACGCCTTCCGGAGGAGGGCGTTATGTCAGACTCTGTTCCGTGTTTTGTGGTTGTTTTGCTCATGTGCCTTCCTTTCCCATGTTTAATTTGTCCCAGGTGTGTCTCGTCATCCCCTCCTCCTGTGTTTATAAATGGTGTTCCCAGTCCCAAGTTCTCTGTCCGGTGTTAAACATCTTCCTGAGTTCGTCTCCCTTGGTTCCTGTAAATAAAGTCTTGGTAAAGTATTCTCCAGCGTCTCCTCGTTCCTCGTGTGTGCATCGTGACAACGTCTTTGACGTATCAACTTTGTTTTTAAATCTGAGCACAGTCTTAGCATTGCTAAACAGTTTGGTGCATTATTGGAGAAACACCCCCAAAAATAAACACCACCTCAGGAAAAGGCAAGCAAATAAATCAGCATCAGAACACAGAGTCATACATACTTTAAAGCAGTGATCTGACTGTTCGAAATTATCGATGACTGCACTTCAGGCTTACATCTTCCAGGCTTCTTTTCATGCATGTTATCCATGAGATCTTATGTGTAAAAACTGCCAGACTAGCAAGCTTTATCTTCATCCAAGCAGACAATGACTATCAGTCCCAACCCACGTAACCAAATAAGTGTACATCCACGTGCAGAAAAAATCAAGTAAACGTTTTGATTAGATTATCTCCAAGTGAGAAAATCATCGTCGAGACTGGACTATTCTAATCATCTATCCAACTGACCATCACAGTATCATGTTGTATCCCTACTTTTCTCATGACAGTAAAAGCTGAAATGTTTTAGGGTCCTTGTACAAAATAAAAGAAAGACGACTGAACAAAGACTTAAGAGCAGACTGGGCCCCTCGTCAAAGCAGTGAGACAGTAAAAGTTGCTTGGCTGGGGTGCTAGGTAACACTGTAAAAAACAAAAAATGAGCCAATAAACTAAGAACCATTTTGTGGGCCGGATACAGATGCACAAAAAAAACTGAGGTCTTTCTGAGGATTTGAAGCAATCTTCATTCTAGGGCATTTATTCTGTTCTGATACAATATAGATTTCATTTATACAAAAAAATACATTTCAATAATCAGAAACCTATGAGCAAGATACTGTAATTAATTTCACATGCTTAAAGCAACTAACCTTATATCCTACCACAGACAGACAGACGATAGATAGATAGATCATGAGTGCTGTTTTTTTGTGAATATATTGCACATTTGCAGATGTTATACAATATGTCTTTCATACATTGTCTGTTTTTCGTCTGTTTCAGCAATGAAAATTATCCCAAACAAAGCCGCAGTATAGAACCATTACACATCTTTGAGAAACACACTGCCATATTATTTAAAGAATTTCAATATTTTGGTTATTGAAAGTCAATCATAAAGACAGCGCTTGCTCCATTCCTGAATGAAGTAGCCATTTGAACAAATTGGTTTAATTAATGACTTAATGAGTTACTCATTAAGACACTGACATTGATTTACATAATTGATTCACTTAACCATTTTTTAATTTCCAGAATCGACGATTCATATTAAATTGCTTAATTTTAATCCCCACTTCCAAAAAATAATAAATAATTGTTAAAAATGGCTGCGTCAGTGTCTATTTCGGGCACATAACATCTAGATAAGAGACAACAGGTAATCATGTCAGTGTGGACACTTGTGCTGGATTATCAATATCAATTTCTTGTTGATGAACCAAGATATTTTAGTCTATGCTGTTTCCAGCTGATGCTTGAACAAAACACCGCTGAACATTATTTGTAGTGGGCCTGCATATAATAATCACAATAAGCGTTGTGCTTTCTTAGCCTACTTTTTTATATGAAACAAAGTCTCAGCTTTCAAATTCTGTCCATTTTATAAGGAAATTCAAACCATGAACATCGTTTTCACACTCCTTAGCTATTAATAAGCAGCAAATTAGGAGTTTGTTGAGGCAAAAGTGATAGTTAATAGTTAGTTAATAATGGGAATTGAACCTTATAATAAAGTGTGACCATTAACGGATTATTAAATACATTTTATTTTTAGTGTTGCGTGGTTTTCGGCTAAATTAAAACTTTAATTTCAGTCTCTGTGTTTCGGTAAAACATTCATTTCAGTGCACCACTATTACTTATTATTACTATTATTGCTTCTGGGGGAAAAAAATCAATAAATAAATAATAATAAAAAAAATAGAAAGAAAAAAAGATGAACTGTTTTTGCAATTATCGGCGCGTTTACACTTGGCAACATTAGCTGACTTCTCGATCTGGATAACCGATCAGATCTGTATTCCCCACGCAATATTTAAATAAGGCGGCGGTGCTAAGTGGACCTGAAGTGGTGGGTTTTCTTTTGAAAACTATTTTCAGTCGCAGGACATTTTACAAATCAAAATAAATGTACGAGTCTCACTAGCGCTCTGTTTTTCCGACAGATTGGGAGAGAGGGGGCGGCGTTTTGCGTGATGTCGACCTGCGAATGCAGATACGATGGCTGGATTGCGTTTACATTACATTGAGATCCGATCACAATACGTCTTCGACTACCTGTGGACCAGGACACGCTCATCGGATAACATTCCGATCAGAAGCGCGTTTACACTTGTCTTTTCAATGTGTATGTGGACAACATCCGGATACAGGTCGCATGTTAATGCCAAGTGTAAACGCAGCCTATGACTAATTTTATAGGGTACATCATGTACAGTAGGGATCTACTGAGACACACCTGCCTGTAATTAACACTGAACACCTTGTTAATTCGCTGGTTTAGGTGTATCTGATTTGGAGCTGAACTCTGCAAAAAGCTCTCCAGGAGAAGGGCTGGAAACCCCTGTTAATCATACAGTCTGATTGAATAAACTCTTCCCCATGGTCTGGTTTTAAAAAAAAGTTAACACAAATTGCAAGAAATTTCAATATCGAATCACAATATTTATAGAATATTGTACGCAATGCATATCGATTCAGTACCAAGTATTTTGACAGTACTGATTCGGGAGATAAGCATTCTAAAAATGCCCATATTAATCAGTTTAAGTGGGCTGATTCACTGCTTTGAACTAACCACCACACAGAATACGAAGAATATGAAAAGCTTCGGGAGTCAGCTGTCAACAACTGGTACCAGCACATAAACACACTTAGCAAAATATTGTCTTATCATTATCAACAAAATCCCAGAAAATATCACACACTCCTAAATAGCAGTTGAACAAATGTTGAATATTTGGTTATATCCTTGGATATATATCAATAAGTCAGATCAAAGTAAAGTCTAAAGCACCTCTTATGCCTTCAGAGTTGTTCATTTACAACATTGTTGAAGAGACTGCAGGTGCGATCGGAGCCCAGGAGACAGATAAATATCTACTAGAAAAGAGATACTGTCCCTGTGCTGTTGTCATCTACCACAACTCTTCAGCTGTAGAGGTGGCAGGTAA